GTATTAAAACAGGGAAGTGTTTTTTGGGTATGCCCAAATGAGATAAATCTGGGACTAAAATCACAAGGGTATTAAAAGAGGTCAACATCAAAGCTGCTTTCATAGAAAACCTGGAAGCTTTCTACAACAGATGGGGAACATAAAAAGTCCGGGCTGAATGGTACTGCCCTGATACTGGCCATGTAGTCAGAAACTGTAAGGCTGGAGATGATGTCCTGGTAGTCAGTAAATGGGGACTGATAGTGCTGTCCTGGGAGACAGTAATGGGAAAACTGGAGGTGCGTCCTGGGAGACAGTAATGGTGAAGCTGGAGGGGCTGTCCTGGGAACAGTAATGGTGAAGCTGGAGATGCTGTCCTGGGAGACAGTAATGGGGAAGCTGGAGATGCTGTCCTGGGAGACAGTAATGGTGAAGCTGGAGATTTTGTCCAGGTAGTCGGGGAAATTTTACCAGGAAGGAATACATATAAATGACCCCATAGGGGACAGGAAGCCATAGTAGGGAAACAAGTGTAGTCAAAGATAAGATAAAACCAATATTGCAAACTAGAAATACCGCAGGGAAAAAGCAAACAAGAGGACCCACTAGCAATAGTGAGGATATATTAAACCAAAAACAAATGGTGGGAGCTCCATTGTTGGTGCTAGGGGGGATAGAAGTAAGACAGGGAAAAAATGCACCAACAGGGAATACAGTCACAGAAACCAAGCAAACGGAAAAACCCAAACCTGTTGCACATACTAGCACTCGGGAAACTGCTGGCATGGGAAATCTGGAAAAACAGAGGGACTGCAACTATGACCACCCTAGGAAAAAGCCATGCCCATATGACAACAGGAAAATGCAAACTCCCTTTCCCGTAAGCTTTTTCACCCCGAACGTGTACCTCTTCAGTACAGGAAAGACTGTGCATAACTTAAATTGCCGGGCATCCCCAAAAAAGGGGGACAAAAAATACAAAACACCAGGCCAGGGGAAAACCGGGAGCCCTCCACTCAAGGGGAGAGGTTTTTTAGTGCGGAAGGAAAAAAAAAGGCGGGAAATGGCAAAAATCGTCACCAAATCCAGTCTTTCCTGGAGTGGAACCACAGTCAGGGCCCTCCACCCCAAAACCCAAAAACAGATACAGATACTAATCCCGGAAAAAAAAACCCCCCCCCGACCAAAATACCATAGTCCGAAACATTCTTCTTTGCAAATTACGGGGTCTAAAGCCCAACAAAAAAACAAAATCCTTTCACCCGGGACTGTTTGCAAGGAAAGCAATGTTCGCGGTTTTTCACTGGACCCCATAAAGGTACTTGAAAACGAAATTTGGATCCCGGGTTAAAAACCAACAGATGTGACAGAGGAAAACGGGAAAAAAAAAAAAAGGGGGGGGGGGGTTGGCCTGTACATTGCAGAGTCACTTGTTTGCACAAAACTGCTAAAGCCTCAAAGATTTGGAATTTTAGCAGTAAAGGTCAGAAAAAAAACCTAGTCATTGTGATAGTCTAAAGCCCCCCGGGATGAAACACCCAGAAATTCCCGGAACAGTTTTTAAAATTTTGACCACTGTCTGGAAAACCCTTTCCCCGCTCCTGCCCCCAACATTTGTTCCTGGGGGATTTAACTTAAGGCACCTAAAAGGGAAAAGAATATACAAATAATATTGTTGCAGTAATAAACCCAAAGGGACTCTGATAAAACTCACACTCACGCACTTTTAACTCGCACAAAAAATTCAATTTAAACCACAAAAAATAGCCTATAGATGGGAATACACTAACTTTATCTTTACTAACAAAGAGCTATAGAAATACACCATATCAAAAAAAATATACTCAGTCACAACATAATTGGGTTTATCATGTATGCCGGAGCCCCCGACCGACATATGAGATTTTCACGAGGAGCATTCACCCAAATTTTAACTTTAATAACAAAAACATAAAGTGGGACCAAAAATAAACCAATCCCAAAAGATATAAGCTGGGAAAATATACTAACAACACAACCCCAAAAATTTTGCTAGAACAGATTAACCGGGGGCACTCGATTAGCCCAAAAACTTTTCCTTAAGAAAAAGGAGGGGTAATGAAAACAGAAAAAAGACGGCCTCCCTTTTCAGGCGACGGAAAAGAATAACAGGCGGGTAAAAGAGGCAATATATCTAAATGCGTAGAGAGAACTGGTCAGAGAAAAAGAACATCGAACTTTAAACTAAAAAAATCCTTTAGGAGTCAGGGAAACGCGGGAAAAACTAAAAGCCCCTAAATAAATGAAAGAAACCCAAAGTATTTTTTTCCTATCCAAATCAAAATCGAGAACAAGTCCAGTATTGGGGCCCCCCCTTAAAAAAATGGTCCTACACAGATGACGCAAGGAAATGAGTGAGTATCAAGTCCCAATATGACCAGTTTTAGCAAGCCGAACCAACTGAGGTCGAAATCAAAAGAATTTTTTAGAGAGAGCCAAAAAAATTTGATTAAACAAGCCTATCCAAGTATCCGACGCCCAAAAGACTTCGAACAGGCGATAAAAAGACATTTCCCATGCACTCTGCCCCCGGGGCCAGCTCATGGAATTGTGTTTTATCAAGAACTGCAAGAAGCCCCCATCACGGCCTTTTTTACCTATGGAGAGGAGCATGGGGCAGGGGGGCGCCCACAGTACTAAAAAAAACAACAAGCCCCACTCCACAAAGGGGGGAGTAAAGCAAACAAAGAAAACAGACCAAAGCACTAACATCCCATATCAAAAAAATTTTTTAAAGGGTCCAAGAAGCAAGATCACCCCCCATCTAGAAACCCTCAGTTACACAACCCAGGGCAAAAAAGGGTTTAAACAGGGCGCTCCTGTCTGTCTCAACATTTGGGCCACAGACAAGGTCCCAAATGCACTAGAAGACAAAAAAAATGCAGATGTAAAATTACAGACTTTTCAAAAGCCTTCACAAATGTGACCCGGCGTAAAGGACAAAAAGCGTGCAAAGGAATAACAGGAAAAGTCGGTCGAGGATTATAATTTCCCCATAACAGAACACAGAGAGTAGTCGTCAACGAGTAAAGTCCGAGGCAGCACGTGAAAAGTTGTTCCACAAGCACATACTCGCTCCCCTCTTTTTCCCATCCTTAATCCCCACATAACAAGGGTGTCAGCCCCCAGCACCCTGTCTTTCCCTTTTCAGAGACACCCCCAAAACGCATGACATGTCTTCCACAAACTCAAAAGCTCCCGCATCAACCAAATCTTTCAGTGGGGTCAAAAAACAATTGAAGTTCAAAACGATGAGAAATTTCAATTACCAGACGTTTAAAATTGCTTAATTTCTTTAAAAAAAGGTCTCATCTTCTTATGCCCTGTTGTAGGTATCAGATGTCATCACATACTTATAACTATACTTAGGTGAGGCAGGTACAGTTTTTGGGAAGCGTTAATCAGGACATTAAAATAGCTTTGGGCTCAGTGCTCCCCCCTGCGGTGTCCTAAAACACCTTTTTAATTCCTTCTAAACCGGGTAGAGAAAAGAGGATACCTTTTGACAGGTATCCTTTTACCACAGAGTAACTCCCATAAATATTCTTTTTGACTATTTCATGAGTATAACGGTTCTGTTCGCGACTTCAAAGCAATTTTAGAAAAAAAAGGGGTAAGACTATAAGGTTGTGCAGTGAAAAAGGGGAAATACAGTTCTGAACTTTTACCTTTCAGAACCCTAGGGGGTGGGGGGAAAGTTGGTGTCGTTTCTGTATACAGTCTTTTTAATACATTTTTTCAAAAGTTTTACAAAGACAACTAGTTGGAGATCGGTCTAAATGATCGGGCTGTTGGGGCAAAGGGGATGGGCACAAGAGACTATTGGGGCCCAAAAATGGGAAGAACCCCAATGCAACGAAAAATTTAAAGTGCAAAAAAGGGTTATCAGGCACTCCCTTAGATTTTCGAGAATGTCATAGTTATACCCCCCTCCCAGGAGCAGTTGATCGATCTTTATTTAATGCATTACTAATTCATACGGGGTGAAAAGGAAACACTCTCATCAATTTTTTGGGCTCGAAAATTAATCATTTCAACATTTCCTCAAAGCACTCTTTTAGTTTTTTTCTAATATGAGATGGAATTTTCATTCCTGAAAATTTTGGACCAGTCATTTACGGGGTCAATTGCTTTTTAAAAGGGGAAAAGGGGGTGAGTAACTTTGCCGTCTTTTTCCGGGTTTTTTTTTTTAAAATTTTCCAAACCCAAAACAAAGGGTAGACCTATTTTTTTCCACAAACAAATTGTTTCCATTTCTGTGCCAAATTCTTGCTTCTATTCCTTGCATTTTTTAGTGCGCTTGGAACGTTCTAGCGGGTCGGGGTTTTCTACTTCACGGTAGCTTTACCAGTCCCCGGGATCAACCCACCCCATCACTAACCCCCGGGGTACACTTTTTTACCGATGGGCAACAAGAAACGGGTGTAAAGAAACACACCCAATTTTTTACCCGGGCGGGAATCGAACCCAGACCCCGCTATGTGAAGCGAGAGCTTTAGCCACTGGGCTACCAGAGCCCTAAACCCGGGTTTTATAACTGGAGTTAGAAGAAACAAACAAAAAAGATATTCGGGAAATTTTCAGGAATTTGACAGCTAAACTAGACATGTTTGGCATGGAGGACACACTAAGTCACAAGGGATACCGGATCTAGAAGGGGGCAGTTAAATATAAGAGTTTTTTTAAAATGTGAAGATCATGAGAATGCTGTAATTTTGAGGAAATAAAAAGTTAAACACCATACTCGATTCAAAGTAGAAATTAAAGTCCACGAAGGGGGAATTATGTTAATTTTTAATTATTAAACAAAAAGAACGCAAAACCCAAAGGGACAACAGCAGGGTTATAAAAGATGGACGAGTCAATATAAGAAGAAGGCCAACATACCTCGACTTACAGAAAATTTTGGAAGGATCGACGTCAAAGAATAATATGACTAACTTCAAAAGAAGTCAACGTTTTTTTAACAATAAAAGGCTTACTTGGTTCAGTGCGCAGACCAGCCAATTTGCGCCCTTTGGGACAAGGACCATGAAGCAGGGGTTTTTCCAGGGTGAAAACACCACCATGAGCTTACACCCCCCCTTTTCTTGCAACCTTTGACCTTTTTCACGCAACACTTACATTTCTTCCCCTTCCCCCTTTTTTGATCTCTTTCTCCCTCTTGTTACATTTAAATTTTTTACAAACCCTCCCCGCATTCTTGAAAGTTTTTTGGGGTTTGCATTTCACTTAAATAATGATGATAACATTATAACAAAAATAGTTAACGATTTATTAAGGGTTGACAAACTTTTAAAAACATTTCATAATATGCAGTCAAATTCATATATATAAAAGGGTTTGCACTACTTGAATAAAACAATGGTTAAAACTAGACCAAATTTTTAAAGGGTGGAGGGGGAAGCCACGGAAGCCTGGGTCAATCCCAAAAACACAATGGGGGGCATCATCAACTAAGACCCGGTCGGAAACCCTTGCCCTTTTTTTCTACAAACCCTTACCAAACCTAACCTACAAAAAATAAGTTTTCTAATTTAAAGTTTTATATTTTATTAATTGTGGGACCAAATTATTTCAGGCAAAAAAAATTTTTAACACAGAAATCCTGTCTATTTGTACAGTAACGTACTGATCACCTTTTCCTATAACGGACATAATTAAGGTCCTGAACCGAACTAAAGGGTTGTAACTCCAAACATTTACTCCAAATTTTTTATTTTAATAACTAGGTGGTCCCCGTATCATGAAGTTGAGGTAGCTTAGATAAAATCATAAAATTGGATGTTGAAAGAACAAATGAATAAAAGGGGATCTTTTGGATGTAAGATCATGAGCAAATGCAGCATTTTGGGAAAGTAATGAGAGTAGGAATTATGAAACGATGGACAGCAAAAAAGGAAGAAGCCTACATACTCTCAACTTACAGACAATTGAAAAAGTACAAGAAATCAACATGAGTGATAGACAAAGCTCAAATAATCAACGTTTTTAACAATAAAAGGTTTACGGTTCTGCAGCAGACACACCAGACTTGCACCCCTTGGTGATAAAAGGACCATGATAGCTTGGTTTCCAGGGTCACACTCCCCCATGATGCTTACCCCTCTTCTTGCAACCTTTCCCTTTTTCCCCAAACCTTACATTTCTTGCCTTACACCCTTCTGATCCATTCCCCTCTTGTTACATTTTGTTTACAAACCCTCTCGCATTCTTGCAATGTTTTTTTGGGTTGCATTCCTATAAAATGAGATGCATTACAACTAAAAATAATAGTTACCAACATATGTAAGTTGTGAACTAAGCAGATATATTCTGCTTACTTGATAATAATGTTTAAATTTTTTTCAAATATAGTTAAATTCATTCACATAACCCTACTACTTGAATTTTAGCTAACGACCTACCATTATACCTGTTATCTCGATTATTAGCCAGATAGTCATCAATACAGCAGCACTTCAATTTGTAACCGGGGGGTGTTCCGGGGTCCGCCCCCGGGGCCCGCTCCATGCCAGCTTCGCGGGGGGATCAGGGCCAAAACCAAACGTTATGTCGCCGCCCAAACCGACTTACAAACCACAGCACGCTCATTACAAGACTACTGTTCATACAAACTCCCTTTTCATTACAAGACTACCGCTTATTACAAACTACCGCCATTACAAACTCCCCGTTCATTACAAGACTACCGCTCATTACAAGACTACCGTTCATTACAAGACTACCGCTCATTACAAGACTACCGCTCATTACAAGACTACCGCTCATTACAAGACTACCGCTTTACAAGCTACCGCTCTTTACAAACTCCGCTCTTTACAAACTCCCGCTCTTACAAGACTACCGCTCATTACAAGACTACCGCCATTACAAACACCTTTCATTCAAGATACCGTTCATTACAAGACTACCGCCATTACAAACTACCGCTCATTACAAACACCCCCTCATTACAAGACAACCTTTCATTACAAGACACCCTCATTACAAGACTCCTTCTTTAACAAGACACCGCCATTACAAACTACCCTCTTACAAACTACCGCTCATTACAAGACTACCGCTCATTACAAGACTACCGCTCATTACAAGACTACCGCTCATTACAAGACTACCGTTCATTACAAGACTACCGCTCATTACAAGACTACCGCTCATTACAAGACTACCGCTCATTACAAGACTACCGCTCATTACAAGACTACCGTTCATTACAAGACTACCGCTCATTACAAGACTACCGTTCATTACAAGACTACCGTTCATTACAAGACTACCGTTCATTACAAGACTACCGCTCATTACAAGACTACCGCTCATTACAAGACTACCGTTCATTACAAGACTACCGTCATTAAAAGACTACCGTTCTTTAAAAAACTCCGCCTTACAAACTATCGTTCATTAAAGACTACCGTTCATTACAAGCTACCGCTCATTACAAGATTCCCGCTCTTTAAAAGACTACCGTTCTTACAAACACCGTTCATTCAAGACTACCGCTCATTACAAGACTACCGTCATTACAAACTCCCGGGGTCATTACAAGACCCCGTCATTACAAGACTCCCGTTCATTACAAGCCCTACCGCTCATTACAAGACAAAACCGTTCATTAAAAGACACCGTTCATTACAAGACAACCGTTCTTTACAAACAAACCGTTCATTACAAACACCGCCATTACAAGACTACCGCTCTTTTACAAGACACCGCCATTACAAAAACCCCGCTCATTACAAACACCGCTCATTACAAACTACCGCTCATTCAAGACTACCGCTCATTAAAAGACTACCGTTCATTCAAACTACCGTCTTTACAAACTGCGTTCATTAAAAGACTACCGCTCTTTTAAAAACACACCGTTCATTAGAAACTACCGTTCTTTAAAAACTACCGCTCATTACAAGACTACCGTTTCTTACAAACTACCGTTCTTTCAAAATACCGCCATTACAAGACTACCGTTCATTACAAGACTACCGCTCATTACAAGACTACCGTTCATTACAAGACTACCGTCATTACAAGACTACCGTCATTACAAGACTACCGTTCATTACAAGACTACCGCTCATTACAAGACTACCGTTCATTACAAGACTACCGCTTATTACAAGACTACCGCTCATTACAAGACCCCGTTCATTAAAGACCCCGGGTCTTTACAAACGAAAGGGATACTGTTCTGTCATTTGCAGTTGCAAGTATAAGATTGTTACCTTTTCATACACGAAAAAAAACCACACTACAAATCATCACAGCCGGGGTTCAGTGTACTCTTACCTTGATGACAAATCCCTCACAGTCGATGATCAGGTGCTCTTTCCTTGACGATGCTCTCCCCATTTATTATAAATTTTTTCACTTTAGTTTTTTCCTTTCTTTTATTCCAGTTTGACTTGTCTTGCAAATTCTTGATATTTTCCCTCGATTTATTTTCCCTTTCTTTTATTTTTTCTTTACGAACTTTTTACAGATTTACCAGTTCTTTTTTTCAGGTTTTTTGTTTTTTCCTTCTTTTTGTAAGCTGTTTCCGCAGTTTTCGTTTCTTCTTGATCAATTTCATGGGTTTATTTTTAATTCCCTTCTAGGGGTTTTTTCCAGATTTTCCTCATGTTTCTTCTGAAAAATTTTTTTTTCTTTGATTATTTTCTTGAATTTTTTTCTTGTTCATAGCTTTCTTTCGTTTGCTTGTTTTTTTATTGATATTTTTTTTGTATTCCTCTGTTTTTTTGAAGGGTTTTTTTTTTTTCGCCCTTTTCTTTTTTGTTTTTTTTTCTTTAGTTTTTTGCTTGTTCATGGTTTTCTTGCGTTTGTCTTTTTATTGTTTGCATTTTTTTGTATTTTCTCATTTTGGGAAATTTCTTTTGTTTTACTTTGTCCTTTTTTGGAAATTTTCTTTTAATTTTTTGTTTTTTCTTCGGAATTTTTTTCATCTGCTCTTTTTCGGAACTTTTTTTTTTTTCGCTCTTCCCGAGTTTTCCCTTTATTGTTTCCTTGTTTTCTGACAGTCTTTCCTTTTATTTTGTTTTTTTCCCCCTCTCGCTTTGAGCTTCCTTTCTTTATCTCCTTTCTCATCTTTTTTTCCTTCTTTTCTTCCCGATTTTTTAAAACCTTTTTTCTTGAGTTCACGGTGTTTTCCTACAAGAAAAACAACACTAAAATGACAAATGTAATATTAATTTTGTAGGGCATAAAATTAGCCAAACAGCAAAACATCCCCAGTTTTTGAAAGGGCATTTTAACAAGTTAAATACAATAGTGATTAAAGATTGTAACATTAAACAACAAAAGCATTACACAGGTTTTCACTTTACAAAGGCTACAAAAACAGGATGTAATGTTTCACAGGCACAAGATTACCGGGTACAAAGTACAGGCTACGGTATTACACATTTCAACATAAAGTGACTGGGTTTCATGGACAATAATCCAAACGACCGACAAGACATTTTAAGGAAAAAGTGTTTACCACTTTTTTGGGGGCGAAAAGTTTGCATAATCAGTGCAACGGTTTTTACGTGTACAGGGGTTGTACAGGTCGATTTTCCCCAAAAAAGAAATTTAAATTCAAAAGGGGAAAATTGTTGCAAATCATTGCAGCCAAATAAAGATTATGTCGCTAGGATAAAAAGTAACGCGGGGAAGGTAAACAACAATCATAAATTCTATGGTACCTCCTCGTAATTTAAAACATTTTTAAGGCATTTCCCGTACCAACTTTTGTGACTCAACATCGTCTGTACCGAATATTTAGGGAAAAATCTCCGGTTAATGTTTTTTATGTGAGTGGGAATGTCATCACTGGGCGTATTATTTACTGTTTCGTATTATTATAAGATTTTTTTTGATTTTAAAAAATCGACCCGAGCTGTCCCCACGCATACGGAAGTTATTTTGTTTGGTTTAGGGCCTAAAATAATATTATATAGACGGTACTTTGTCAGTCAGGGGGATTTTCTAAAATTAAGAATAAAATGATTTTCCCTTCCATTTTTACCGTTTTAACTTGCCACTATCAAAAATTTGGGGGCCAGCCCGGACCCTTTGTACCCCGTAATCTTTTGACACCGCCCAAGGATGGGGTATGAGGGGCATAATAAACATATTAAATATATAAACTAAACTCATTCTAACATTAAGAGATTAACTTTTTTGTAATGTCGTTTTGTTTGCAAGAATTTAACAAGCAGTGCCGTAGTTAAAAAAAAAAAATTATTTTATATAGAAACGTGGAAAATAATTTTTCCCCAAAATTATGCTGGTAAATAAACCTGATTAAAAAAGTGTATTTTAGAGAATGGGTCGACATAGGCTCTGCGCCTGCGCTGACCAGCAGGGGGAAATCGCCATTTTTTTTGAGTGTGTTGCAACACTTAATTAAGGGTATAATTTTTCTTCGCTCTAGGGTTACATGGGGGTTAAAACCCTCAAAAGACCAAATTGTTGGATGTGCAGTCCTGCAAAAATTGAGCATTTAAAAAAGTACAAGACAGCCCAGGAACCCCCAGATAAGCTACTAAATTTTTTTTTTTTGGGTTTGGTTAGTTTTTTAGTTTTTTTTTTTTTCTGGTTTTTTTTTGTGGGGGTTTGTTTTTTTTTTTTTTTGGTTTGGGTTTTTTTATTTTTTTTTTGTTTTTTTTTGTTTTTTTTTTTTTTTTTTCCCCCTTTATTTTTCCGAATTTTTGGGGATTTTTTTTGTTTTTTTTTTTTTTTGAAATTTTTTTTTAAAAATTTTTTGGGTTTTTTTTTCCTTTTTTTAATTTGTTTTTTGTTTTTTTGGTATTATTTTGGTTTTAAAAGTAAATTTTAATTTTTTTTTTGTTTTTTTTTTTTTTTAACCAAATTTTTTTTGTTTAAAATTTTTTTTTTTTTTTTTTTTTTTTGTTTTTTTTTTTTTTTTTTTTTTTTGCAAAATTTTGTTAAAAAATTTTTTTTTGGTTTTTTGGGGTTTTTTTTTTTTAAATTTTTATTTTTTTTTTTTTTTTTTTTTTTTGTATTTTTTAAATTTTTTTTGATTTTGGAATAAAAATTTTTTTTTTTTTTTAATTTATTGTTTTAAAAAAAAATTTTTTTTGTTTTTTTT